AAGGCGAATCAGGCCACATATGCAAATGACCTCTGTGTTCTGATTGGCTGTGGGGGGAGAGGAACAGCAAACTGTTTAGAATTTTGGAGGCAGGACTCAGGCAAAGCAGCCAGTGGATAGGGAGACCCTCTGAATGACAGATCAGAGAGCGAACTGATTTTGGAGCGTGTTGGAATGTTCAGGGGAGTCCATGACCAAAACAGAATTATATATACCAGAGGATTTAAACTGTGTACAGGACAGCTCTTCCTGGGTACAAACTCCCAGCATATAATTCAAGTTATATAATACATCCCTTTTATTTTTTCACTTACCAGAAGAAACAGCAAATTACTCCCAGGCATTGCCCACATTTAGAGATTACAAGCAAACCTTGGTTCATTTAGAAGAAGAATGAGCCTCTGAAGTCCTTGATCCTGCATGCTCCCTCCCCCTTCCCTCATGCTTGAGATGTAGACTTCAATGTAGATTGAAAACTTTCTGGTTTAATATATGCTGCCGTTCATAGTGATGTCTGAATCTCATAAAAACTGGGGTTTTAAACCACAGTTTAGAAACACATCACATTTTCTCTTTTGGCCTTGTTTGGAAGTCACAATAAAATATGGAGAGTGGGTTTAGAATCACACTAGGATGTTTTCAATCGGTGTCCTGTGTGTGAGCAATAGAGGGAGAGAAAGTAAGAAAACTATAGAAGCTGATTCTCATAATGAACAAACTAAGAGTTGTTCATAATACCAGAATGTAGGCATTGTAGTTGCTAAGCAGCGCACTTCTTACAGACATGGGATTTACTTTTAAGAATCAAATATAAAGCTAAATCTAGACTGTAACATTCTAGAGCCAGTTTGTTGTAGTGGTTAAGAGTACGGACTCTGATCTGGGAGAACTGGGTTTGATTCTGCATTCCTTCACATGCAACTGCTGGTGTAACCTTGGGTCAGTCACAAATTCTCTCAGAGCTGTTCTCTCAAGAGGAGTCCTCAAGAGAGCTCTCTCAGCCCCGCCTACCTCACAGGGTGTCTGTTGTGGGGAGGGGAAGGGAAAGGAGAATGTAAGCCACTCTGAGACTCCAAGTGAATGGTGGGCTATAAATCCAATCTCCTCCTCCTCCTCCTCCTCTTCTTCTTCTTCTTAAATAAATAAGAACTTTTCCTTTGAAGTAGTCTTGTTGACTGGCTAAGCAGCTGTAAAACATTTATCCTCCCAGTGACAAAAGAAACAATATGTTTGCAATCTTTGGCAATATATTCACATTCTGCTTCTGAAGATGACAGTTTAGAAAGGCTCCTTCCATATAGGGATTTTTCCTGGCATGGATAGCAGGAAGTCCCCAAAGCAAAAAAAGAATGTTTGGCTGATGTATTCAATTTGGGCACAACTCATCTGGCTCTCCCCTCACTTGTTAATATATAACTTCATTTTCTCTGGTTTATAGGGGAAACTGATGGATGGCCGCTGGTGGAGCATCCATCTGGCTGCTCTTCCATAGCCTCTATGGGGGAGGTGGAGCTTTAGCTGCACTTTTGAAATAGCATGCAGCAGCCCACCATCCCCCACACACACACTTACCCTTTAATCCATGCTGCATCACTCTGTAGCTTTTACAGCACAGCTCCACAGGGGTAAAGTAAGTGAGAGGAAGGGATGACTGGTCAGCAATGGGTCCTGATGAAATCACCATCATTTCTGTGCTTTTGCACAGGCATGATGGGGTGGAAGGAGGAGAAATTGGTGTGGGAGAAGTAGTGAGTGGCACAACAAGGGAAGTGTAGACACCGTTTCCTCCTGCTCCCACACAGCTTGCTGCTAATGGCAAGAGCACATGGCAAGTAAATGGCAAGAGCACATTTTCACACTCCTGTCCAGAAATTGCCAATGGGGACTCAAATGCATACCTCCAGCTGAGTCAGATCAGCCATTCACTCAGTTTAGGCTACTAAAGTATGACTTTCTGGTTGGAAGTTTGCCTGCACCAAGTACTAAGGGAGATCACTACACTCATAGGATATAAGAAGTGAAAATATCAAGGATATACTTTGAGCTGAAAGCTGTTTTTGTTATCATATCCAACCCATTCTGTATTTTTGACAGCATAGGGAACTTTCTGTTCTGTAATCCAGGACTCCGTCGCTCCTTGCAAAAACGTACACACCTGTCAAAACAATAAGGATCTGTCAAAACAAAGGACCTGTCAAAACAAAGACTGGAAACTAACTCTGAAAGGCCATAATTCTAAACACATTTTGCTCCAGGATCTCATGTTGAAATGTAATAAAATTTAATAATTGATAGTCCATACTTTCACCTGTGAAGGGTTCCCAAAACAGCTTCCAAAGAAGACATAAACATACATTAAAGCCCATTAAATAAACATAGTATAATGATGACAGCCATTAAAATTATATGAAACAGCAGCTAAGAACAACAATTAAAAAACCTAAAATCCACCAACCCATCATTGATAAACTAGTAGTATAATTTGAAAATCTAAAGGAAAAAAAGGCATGTATTCATGTGGTGCCAAAAACTGAGCAGGCTAGGCACCAAACAATTCTCTACCAGAAGGGAGTTCCAGAGTGAAGTCGCCATCATAGAACACACTCTATCTCCCATGGCTGCCCATTGTGAGGGCACACAGACAAAGAATTAATGTTCCTAAGAATTAACCAATAGCTATCCAGGGTACTGCGTTTTGTGGGCTCTAGCTCCGATTATTAAGAACAAAGCTCTATATATAGTTTTTAAAAGGGGGAAATGGGATAGATACACTGGGAATTGTTCCGATTTACATTGTTCCCTAGAAATTATGTATAGGATTGCAGGTCTATAACCTGAAGTAAGAACCACTGAATTCAGTGGCACCTACTCCAAAGTTAAAGCACATAGCGATTTCAGCCTAAGATCTTTTTTAAAAAAAATCCTGCCCAGGGTGGCTTGTGTGGAGGCTTAATGGGGGTGGGGTGCTTCTAGCTACTGAAGGGAGAAGTAGATTCAGTGTCTCTGCTATAAGGCATCCAGAAGTAGTGACAGAAGTACTTCTGGGTGCTCTGATCCTGCCCTTTCTCAAAGAACAAAAATATACACTGGTTTAACCTGTTGTACCATCACAATATCCTTTTGAGGAAGATGGGTCTGAGAGAGTGTGATTTACCCACAGCCACCTAGTGACTTTGGTAGGGCTTTTGTCTATGGGGATTTAAACCCAAGGCTCCATAGCCCAGCATTATCCACTCCACTACAATTGGTCCCCAGTATTTTGATATATGTTTGTAATGCATGGAAATGTTTACCTCAAAATAAGCCAAAACACCAGCTTCTTGAGTGTAGGCTCCAGGAGAACCTGCACCAGATACTGGAGCACCAACTCCAGTTTTTTCAGTAGAAAGTCTGAAGGTTCGTCCATATGTTGGAAATCCCATCATAGGTTTTGTAGCTGGGGCTCCATTGTCCTTCCAGTATTTCATGGCATATTCCTGTAGCATACAGTGAACAAAATAGGTAACTGTGACACATTATAAAGAGTTCCATTATTCTTTCACTATTTTTTTTTTAATCTAAGGGAGCTTTGATAGGCAGCAAGTCAAGATGGATCTAAGGGAGCTTTGATAGGCAGCAAGTCTATCAAAGGAAGGGAGGTTGTGAACAGGGTGCTTAATCCTTTTTCCCCCCCAGTAGTTCTGTTTCAGTTCAAAAAAGAGCCCACGCTGCTTTTTCACCCATAGTGGGAAGGATACAAGGTCCCCATATGTTCCCGATATCATCCCATCTCTGGATCAAAACAGCAGGCTGAGAAAATTCATTATTAGCTGGAGAAAGGTTGTGGATCCTGCTTGCTTCTTTTCTACTCAGACACAGCCAACCAAAGCTCTTTTTTGGTTAAAAATAAAGAAAATATAATCATGGAATTCCATCTAATGCAGAGACTGAGTCTATCTGGACTTAAAACCAGTTGTCATTGCATGTAGTGGAAAGGTTTCAACTAGAATTTACATATATTTCTATCTGACCCTATGTCGCTTTTTGTCCTTACACAGTTGCAGAAGAGATCTGGGTCATAGGAGGCTAAACCCTTATGAAGGGGGCTGTTATGTCCCGTTACAGATCCCCACTTTCCATGGAAGTCATAGGTCATCACACTGATAAAATCAAGGCTCCTGAATAAATAAAAAAAAATGAAGGGAAGGAGTAAGGATTTTTTCCCCAAACATTACAAACTCTAAGATGGAACAGCCACATTCACTAATGATGGACAAGAGGGGCTTAGTTTTAAAATCTGTCATATAACACTTTGGCTCACGGACATAGGTAATTTTCAGGTATAGAAGAAAATCAGTTTCATTAGAATTGGCAACCTTCAAAAGGCCCTCTGAAACGTTTTCTGAAACAGTCTACAGCTGAGCCTAAATAGAATCCTTTATCTAAAGACCGCAGTGCAGATTGTGTTTGGTTCAATAATATGAAAACTGAACTTAAACTTTCCCCTGCTTGGGGAGTCTGATTCCTTCATGGAATAAAGACTATCGATGAAAACAAGCATTCCATTTGAACAACTTTCTACAAAGCTTGTTAGCAATTTAAACTCAAGGTCAGCAGATCCTTCAGGAGATGGTCTTTAAGCATCACGACATTGCTCTGATGTGGGTCACTTTAAAGAAACCATGTGACTTACTTCCCCAGGGAAGGAATCTCATACCCAGCATCAATGGTATGTTTGTTGGAAGACACTGCTGCAGAAAGCAGAAGCCGTGGGCGTCCTGTCCTTTTGCCTTCTTCCATGAAAGCAGCCAAGAGTTCCTTCAGAGATAAACAGCAGTAGCAGTGAATGTTGCTCATGTGCAATAGAACACAAAAGAAAGCTGGCCTTTTTAACATTAAAGTTTCCACAGGAAATTGTCCACAGGATCAATTCCATAAAGGAAATGTCCATGTGATCATTATGGACCACAGACCTAAGCTTATATTATTTTATTTAGCTTCATGTCCATTCTACTGCCATACAGTCTGTCATGACCCCAGAGGGGTCTTTGGGTTCCGCCGCCACCACCCTGGATTTATGGTCCCTTGGGAGGCCCAGGGTACCTTCCCAAGCCCCTTTTACAGCCGAGAACACAGGCGTGATTGACCCAGGCAGAGAAAATACTTACACAAAAAGGGTTTATTAAAACAACAGTGGGGCAGGGAAAAACAAGACACAGCAAGGTGCTTCAAAAGAGAATAACAGTGTGAAAGGACAAATAAACATAAACTAACGCAGCGACCTGTTTCTACTTCCAGGCCCCAGCCTGCCTAGCACTCACGCTGATCCCAGTGTAGCTCCCTCTCTCCCAGACCAGCCTGTCCCCACAGTGGGACCAGGCCGCAGAGAGAGACCCGAAGAACACCCTATTTCTCCTCAGTTAATGGCTAACCGACTCTCCTCACCCAGTTCAACAGTCTCCTCCCAGAAGCTGCCTCTCTGATTCTCCCAATGCCCTCTGGGAGTTGTAGGCCTAGCTGCCTCCTACTGCCAGCCAGGCCTCTTAGGCTGGCTAGGCCGTGCTGGCACAGGCCAGATCATGACACAGTCTCATAATTCTTGTTGCTAGCCAATCAGTTTTGTTCTTTAGAGTCTGTGGTTTATTCACATAAGTCCAGTTCTTCTATGTTGATGGTGCTGGGTCTCAAAAGCCTTCCCAAGCATATGCTCTTCATGCTTCTTCTCTAATACAGTTCACATGTTCCAGGGATGAGTGCCATCCTGGAAATGCAGTGAGGACCTGGTTCGTATTAAGACCTGCACAATGTGTTAACTTTAAACACTTCTACCACAACCCATCATGTTTTTTCCATTGCCTTTCATAATTCAAATCTGAAAATATGCATAGTCTGCAAAGTCTTATAATGATTCTAAGCCCATTAGCAAAAGCTCAGTTGAAAATCAGTTTCTCACCTGAATCAAGATGGTAAAGTGATGCTTATCCTGTTGGGGACTACCATGGGAACCTGGATATTCCCAGTCAAGGTCTAGTCCATCAAATTCATATTTGCGAAGAAAATCTATCGCTGAACAAATGAATATCTGGCGATTTGCCTGAGAAGAAGCCATGGTAGAAAACCTGGAAAAAACATGTTATTTGTATTTTATTTTTTTTAATTGTCACCACTGTGTCTGTTCTTGTATTGCAAAATTAACCCTGTAAAATCTTTGCAACACTTTGGCAGATGCTGATTTCTAGTAATAAATGTATACCATGTGAAACACAAGCTTTTTCTATTTGCCTGAAACTGGGTATCCCAAATATGATCACCATAAATAGCATTTTGCAATATTAAGAATAAGGATAAAGATCTCACTTCTGGGTATCAAATCTTCCTCCTCCAACAGCCACCAGGTGCAGCTTGTTATTTCTAGAAAACAAGAAAAATATTCTAGAAAACAAGAAAAATATTCTAGAAAACAAGAAAAATAATCAAATATGCAAGGACTGTGTGAAACAATATCAAAAGCTATTTTATGACATACTGTCTGGCTAGAAAATGCAAGACCCTTGTCACCAGTCTCGCAGCTATACAAGACAACTTTGGGGGACTTTTGGGACATTCTCAAACAATCTGCATTCCCAGGAGACCAGAATCTTAAACATTCTGTCTGTGCTATAGAGAAAAAGAAAACAAGCCCAAGTAACAGAGTGAACAGCGAAATATGCCAGACTGTCATAGCATTTTTCCCTGTTAGAAGGGAGAAAGTTTCTCTTTCTTCACTAGGGATATTTCCAGCACCATTTTGTTTTCCTCACAGGCATCTGGCCTATGTCTGAAGTTCATACTTCGGTTAGACACATGTCTCTTACTGCAAAATGTCACATACTTAGGAGAACATGCTTAGCCAAACACATGTGTTTACAATAAAATAAACATGCACATAGTTCTTCATAACTGTCATCTGGACTCCTCTTTAAAAAGAGTAACATTGGTTCTAATCCTTGAACTCTACCTCTGATCCTACAGTTTTACACCGCATGCCAAATAGACAGTAGGGGGATGTAGGCCACAGAGCTTTTGCAGTAATGGGATATCCATATTTAGTACATTCTACCCCTAAAAGGCACATGCAGAATCCACACTGGCATTATCCGCATTAATGAAGACACAATATGCACACTGCACTACATTGTGCATTCTTTATCAGTGGACTTCTTTTCAGGAACAACCAAAATATACAACTATATCCACAAGTACACCTTAACAAGTGTGTTTGAGGATTAGGGATGGGCACAAACTGGCTTGTTCATGATTAATTTTGGCTGGTTCATGGTTTGTGAAATGAAGTTCATGGCAGGTCAACCGCAATGAACCTTCCATTAACTTTCAATCTGTTTGTGGAGGTTTGCACTTGTTTGTGAATGGATGCATTTCCAGACAGACTGTCTCCACTCAATCTAAATGTTTTCCAAACTTCAAAGCAACGTAACTTGGAGGTCATGTAGAGGAGCACCTGGGGAGGGTCACCTATGTTTTTGATGTTTCTAGCTTGCACAGGATCCATTCTGTACACTCCTAAACACAGGCATATGCCTGTCAAAATGACCGCCTGTCAATGACAGGCAGTCATTTTGACAAGCGCGCAGATTCAGCAGGTTCAGGAATGTACAGAATGGATCCTGTGCCAGCTAGAGACATCAAGTCACTAGGAACCTCCCCCAGGTGCTCCTGTACATGACCTCCAAGTATGGTGTCTCTAGCTTGCACAGAATCTATTCTGTACACTCCTAAACACAGGCATATGCCTGTGTTTAGGAGTGTACAGAATAGATTCTGTGCAAGCTAGAGACACCAAACTCACAGGGGACCTCTATCTGACTCTCCTCTACCTGCCCTCCAGGTTTGATGAGGATTAGATTTACAGGGTCTGAGTTATGTCCCCCACAAAGAGGGTGCTCTCCAGAAAGTGCTATCTGGGGAAATGACAAGTGGTCATTTCCCTAGAAAGCACTTTCCCGGGGGCACCTTTTGGGGGGGCAGTAACTTGGATACCATAAATCCAATCCTCACCAAACTTGTAGGGCAGGTGGAGGAGAGACAGCCAGAGATCCTCTGTGAGTTTGGTGTGTCTAGCATGCCGAAGGCATTCTAGCAGGTAGGGCTGCCAATTCCCCCTGGGGGCGGATTTCCCCCCACTTTGGAGGCTCGATTCAGCACGTCAGCACGTCACATCCGGCTGATGTGCATACGGCGCGCGCGCGCCATCCGGGAGCCCCCCACAGCAGAACAAAAGGTATTTGGCAACCCTATTAGCAGCTCACAAACTAAACCAGTTTGTTTGGCCCCTAAAAGTTTGTGACGGTTCATGGTCCATGAATTGGGCACACTATGAACCACAAACCAAACTGCATTTTCCCAGTTCATACCCATCCCTATTGAGGATGCCCTGCAATGTCATTGAAAATACTGGAGCCCAACTGTTTTGTGCACAGCTCTGCATAGTGCTTTGAAAACTTACAAAAGCTGCTTGGCCAGAAAGACCACAGTGGAAAAGAATGTGTGCATTGAAGGGAATGATGACTGTTTCCTACCATGTTTCAAGGGTCTGAGAATCTATTATCTGTACAGAACCCCAATACAACAGCAACTATTAAGACAGGAATGGGATGGTAGTAGGACACAGCAGTGATGAGCATTCCAACTCCTGGCAAATTATAAGGTATTATTTTATTTATTTAGTTTATCAACCGCCCTCCCCAGTAAAACCAGGTGTACAATACAGTCGTATAAAACATCAGTAGAACAAATTTAAATGTATACAAGGCAATAAAAACAATAATCTGATTAATTGTTTACAGATGGCACTAAAATCCTAGCTGCGTTGCTATCTCATGGGAAAAGTATTTTCAAAGTACCTTTACACATTAGACAGCACCAACCCTGTATTTGCTTTCAGATGTATACTTAACAAGGAGCCACAGCCATTCTGAGTTTTCCAAAATGTCTTTGTTACACTTTATACTTCAAAGAGAAAATTTAAAAAGTCTTAAGCATAATCTTTTTTAAAAAATGTGTAATACGATTCAATGAGGCTCTTCCACTTTGGGTTTGGTGCTGCAATCAGAAGGACAATATTTGGTAGCAATCATCACTGAACATCATTAAGAGACTGCATTCAATGTTGCAAATTACTTGCCTCTCCTTTATGGTGTTGAGTTCTCTGTAAAGCATTTTATCATTCCATTCTGTAGTGGCAATTTGGTTGTTGATTATGCCAGCAAAAGCATATATCAAGTGGGTACACAGGAACGGGTCTATATCATGTGGGGTGAATCTGGCAGCTCCTTCCCTGTGCTGAGCCCAGTTAGTGACATCACACAAGTTTGTAGGCACAACCTGATGAAAAAGGGTAAAAGGTGACAGAAAGACACTTCATGCAATTTTCAATACACTACTTTCCGCCCTGTATACCTCAGTGTCTCACAATGGGTAGTAGTGGCAACTCAGCACAAGACTAAAGGTATCAGCTCTTTTCAGAGATGATTTTGGTGGAACAACCATATGTAATCTCAATATGTACAGTTGCCATTTTGTCTAACTAGGGCAACACCCATTTTCTGGCTTCAGTTTTGCAAATGAAACACTGGGTTGCCAAATGTACATGTTCATGTGTACTGAAGCTAGAAAATACTTGTGTTGCCCTATTCAGACAAAATGGTGATTGTGCATACCCTGAGAGTGTTGCAGATAAAATTATTTCCCTGTAGGTGCAATTGCCCTCCAAAATTGCGATGTCTGAAAAGGGCCATAGAGTGTGATACTTATAGGTATGGAGAAGTGGGAAATGATCTACTGTAAAAAACACATCACATACCTTAAAAGCTTAAGGCCAACCTACTCGCTCAATTGAAAATCAGGATGCCAGATTAAAAGGTCTATGAAATGCTGTAATAAATCAAACCAAGAGGCTTATTTTATATTGAATGAGAAACTTTCCTAAAAAATCAGAGCCATTTACAGCTATAGCTGCCAGCAAAAAGGATTCCTGTGAAAATGGGTACCTCGCACAAAGCAATTACAGTGTATTCATATCATGTCTTCATATACTCTGTTTCAGTGAATCCCCACTTCTCAGTGCTTCATAAAACTCCATTTCCCTCATTCTTTCATATAGTGATCCACCATGCCTTAGATCCTTGCAGAGCAGTTCCCTGATCTTTCTCTGCAGTCCAATTTCACCTACTGCCTGTCAGATGGTACAGGAAAAGATGGAAACAGTCAGTTTAAAATGTTCCAGTCCCAAGGCAGGCATATATGTTTGGCCATTTCTTTCATCCTCTGCCTTATCTAGGAATAGCTCCCTTGAAAGTAGCAGAATGATATTTGAGTGACAACAGAGTTACTCAGACAGTGCCCATAAATGTCATGTAAATTAAGAGGAATGATTAAAGAGTGCCCTGGAAGATTAGGCTTTCAGCACTGGTCCAAAATCACAAGCAGAAGTGAAGACATTCATACCAAGTTGCAGATTCAGCAAAAGGGTAAAACCTGGAAAACAAGAGATAGAAGAATGTTCACCACAAGTAAGGGATGCTAAGAGGATATAACTATTACCTGTTCTTCTCAGAATGGGATGGTGATAAACAGTGTTCCCTCTAAACTGAGTTAGTGTGAGCTAGCTCACAGTTTTTTAGCCTCTTGCTCGCACATTGTTGCAAGCTAATTGATGCAGGAGCCAAATCACTCGCTCACAAGTTTAATGCCAGTAGCTCACAAAGGAGAACGTTTGCTCACAAGACTCCACAGCTTAGAGGGAATATTGGTGATAAACCAATTCAATGAAGTTTGACAAAATTCACCCCCTGCATATGGGGCTGGCTTGAGGAACTGTTTAATTCCAGCTATCAACCCTTTCTCCCTAGCTGTTTTTATCCCTGAGAGGGAAAAAAAATCCCTATACATTTTATCTTTTGGGAAGAAAAGCAGCTGAGTAGAGTAACATCTAAGAAGGATCTTCTCTACTTCCCCATGTCTGTCACACACTCAGTGCCCACCAGCTCAGAAACAAATGCAGAAAATAATTCAAGTTACTCACCTGCCCGCAGAAATAAGTTTCCCATATTGATTCTCAGACCTAGATAGAGATGGGGGGAAAGTGGAGATTCAAAAGAATTGGCAATGAAATTAAATTTTATGGAATTCTGAGTTTCAGGAAATATTAGTATTTTGGTGACCTTTTCACCTAATTATGAGGCATAGTTCTGAGGCAGAGTCACTGCAGGCCAAACTGCTATAATGAATGAATCTGAAAATATACAAAAAGCTGTGAGTTTTATCAATTGATAAAGCACTCCTGAGTGTGAGGAGCTGAATGCTGTTAACTTGCTGACTTGCTGTCCTTCGTAAGTAGAAAAACTCTGGGAAGGGAACCAATATTCCAACCAATTAGAGGGTTATTGTGCAGCACCAAGTCAGTCCATAGCCTTTTCACCAGCATTCAGTGAAGCAGATCCTGCTTTTTGCAATTATTTATTTATTTATTTATCCTTAAATTTATATCCCGCCCTCCCCGAAGGCTCAGGGAGGCTCACAAGGGGCACGGTATTTATTTATTTGCATTTTTACCCCGCCCTCCCCGCAAACGGGCTCAGGGCGGCTCCCTTACTTCTTTAAATCAGAAGAAGTAAGGGGAACCATACATACATGAACCTGTATGTGTGAAACATTTTTCCCTCTAAAGAAGTAAGGGAGGCTGGTGAGAAGAAGGGTCTGTCTGCTTTGACAGCCATCTACTTCAGGTCTAATCCAGTAAGAATTGTAATACAAGGTAAAGCAATATTTCAGTGAATTAATCATGGATATTACATGTAGGTCTTGCTTCAGTGACCATTCCCTGTACGGAGAGGGAATGGATGTTACATGTAGGTCTTGCTTCAGTGACCATTCCCTGTACGAATATGATAGAAGAGTCTCAGGGCTCAAGTAGACATTACAGGCAGGGTTGTGTTTATTTTAAATGGTTTTTCTTATTCTGCAGGATAATGGTGTGGGGAGCTGTTTTGCTTAAATGGGCCTCAATATTAGACTATTAAGCAATTATTAAAATGTAAGTAATAATTACTATTCATATTTAAAGCATTAAGCTCTTACAATGATTAAAACAAGACAGCTTCACAATCTTTAAAACAGAATAGACACATTTATTAACTTAAAACAGTCAAATGAGTTATTTCCTCCAGACAGCAAAGCCCTTCAGTTTGTAAAAGTCCACAGAGTTGATTATGGTAATTTAAAATATAACATGAGAAAGTACATAACTTACGAACACTGCTTCCAAATACTTTGCAGTCCTTTAGGCAATCAGTATTTTCTGCTTTTGGAGGTTATTAATTCAGAAGGTCCCCATGAGTTGAAAATGACTCAACAGCTCATAACACACACACACACACATTATATTTCACTACACCATCCAACCAGTAAGCATATCAGTCAGTACATAAAAACCCGAAATATCCTTCCCAAAAAAACCTCTGTTTAAATAATTTGCCATAAACCTGACAAAGTCCTTCAACTTCAAAAAGCACAACAACAGGAGGAAAGCCAGGATCCCCCCCAGAAGAGCCCTCTGGCAACCCTACACTCAGGTGTGAGTGCAGAGTAAGACCAGCACATTACACGGCTCCATTTCCATGTGTGCTGCACAATGTGTGTAAAAAACTGGAGTATCTCCATGTAGGACAGATTTTCTTAACCTTTAACCCACTGCTGCCAACCAAGTATGCAACTTTATTATCAAATGCCTCCCAAGTCTGAAGTAAAAACTTAGAACATAAAAACTACACTGTAGACAGGGCAACTTTTATTTACATAAGTGTATTCATGAAATAGACATACTACAGTACAGATTTCAATGAAGCCCTTATGCCTGGTGGCCTTCTGCCAGATCCTTAATGTTAAATTTTATTCCTGTTTGCTGTATGCAACTTTTTATGTGGCGGAGGGCGAGTAGGGTGTCTGTTGTGGGGAGGGGAAGGGAAAGGAATTTGTAAGGTGCTCTGAAACTCCTTTGGGTAGTGAAGGACGGGGTATAAATCCAATCTCTTCTACAAAACAGCTCTCCTCCACTAGTTGGCAGAAGCAATTGCAAGTGATTAAAAAGAGGAATCTAAAACTTTAAAATTGTTATTGATTCTCCTGGACCTCTCAATGGATTTTTTATACCACCTTCTGGACCACCTTTCCGAGTTGGGAATGGGAGGCATAGTTTTGTAGTCATTCCAGTACTACCTAGTGGGTAGATTTCAGAAGGTGGGGGGGAACTGATGCTCAGCCCCTCAGCTTTGGCTTGTGGAGTCCTGCAAGGCTCCATCTTGTCCCCTATGCTCTTGAACATTTACATGAAACCACCAGGTGAGGTCATCCAGAGATCTGGACTGGGCTGGGTTGTCAATATGTAGATGACACTCAACTCTGTCTCATGCTTGGAGCCAATTACAACAAAGCTGTAGAAACCCTGAAGTGGATGCAGGCTTATCATATGGGACTGGAATGCTAATGTAGGAAGTCAAAAGATAACCAGAATAACAGACAAGTTTGGCCTTGGAGAACAAAATGAAGCAGGGCAAAGTCTAACAGAGTTTTGTCAACAGAACACGCTGGTCATAGTGAAATCCTCTTCCAACAACCTAAGAGGCAACTCTACACATGGACATCACCAGATGGGCAACACCGAAATCAGATTGACTATATCATTTGCAGTCAAAGATGGAGAAGCTCTATACACTCAGTAAAAACAAGACCTGGAGCTGACTGTGGCTCAGATCATAAGCTACTCATTGCAAAATTCAGACTTAAACTGACGAAAGTTGGGAAAACCACTAGGCCATTCAGGTTTGACTTAGATCAGATCCCTGATGAATATGATGATGAGAGCCAGTTTGGTGTAGTGGTTAAGTGTGCGGACTCTAATCTGGGAGAACCGGGTTTGATTCCCCACGTCTCCACTTGCACCTGCTGGTGTGACCTTGGGTCAGTCACAAGCTCTGGCACAGCTGTCCTTGAAAAAGGGCAGTTTCTGTCAAGAGCTCTCTCAGCCCCACCCACCTCACAGGGTGTCTGTTGTGGGGAGGGGAAGGGAAAGGAGTTTGTAAGCCGCTCTGAGACTCCGAGTGAAGGGCGGGGTATAAATCCAATCTCTTCTTCTTCTTCTTCTTCTTCTTCTTCTTCTTCTTCTTCTATACAGTGGAGGTAAAGAATAGGTTCAAGGGACTAGATTTGATAGATAGAGTGCCTGAAGAACTATGGATGGAGGTTCGTGACATTGTACAGGAGGCAGCAATCACCACCATCCCCCCAAAAAAGAAATGCAAGAAAGCAAAGTGGTTGTCGGATGAGGCTTTACAAATAGCAGAGGAAAGAAGGAAAGCGAAGGGCAAAGGTGAAAAGGAAAGATTTACCCAACTGAATGCAGATTTCCAGAGAAAAGCAAGGAGAGATAAGGAGACTTTCCTAAATGAACAATGCAAAGTAATAGAGATGGGGCCTCCCAGAAATGGGGAATTATTGCGAGGCATCTCAGATAAAGGCATTAATGGAAACAGGAGAGGAAGGTGAACAAAAATGGATTAGAGTCGAGAATGAAGCAAATAAAGGGGTGGGAAGATTTGGAGTATTCACAGGAGATAAATTTAAATATGAAACACTAGAAAGGGGACCGAGAAGAACAGCATTAATGATTTGGAGGAAATGGCAATTGAAATGGTTAAAGGGAATATCGAGGTATGCTCCGCTAGAGGCTCTGGATGAAGAGGAAGAAGATGAGAAATGGTGGTTATTACTCAAACAGAAAGGATATACCAGGTTACGAAATATAATATGTGGGCAGACACTTATATCATTATCAACATTATACGAGGAAATAGGAGGGAAACATTGGTTGAAAATCACAGGTCTATATAACAGACTTAAAAAGATGATTGAAAACAAAACTTTGGCGATGGGGGAGCCAATAGAGGAGTTGTTACGATCAATGACAAATGGAAAGAGAGGATTAGTAGGCAGAATATATAGGAAAATGGCGATAGATAAGGATCAAATAAGAACCCTTATTCAGGGAAAATGGAGCGCAGAAACTCGTTTAGCGGATCAAACAGTCAATAGAATTATAGATGGCACACAGGAGATAAAAGTACATAAATGAATATATTCAATCAGACATAATAGCTATTTCTAACCAAGATGAACTATGGGAATCAAGAATAGGAAAGATCAGGAAGCTCACATTGCTGGCACTGCAGGAATGGGAAAGGATGGTACTCCCATATGTGGTGGGAGTGCATAGAAGCTAAGGGTTTTTGGGAGAAAGTGACAGAACAGCTTTATAAGTTCTTTGCAATAAGACCAAAGATAGATCTGGAACTGGTGCTAAGTAGCAATTTAGGCAACCGAGATATTGGAAAAGGGGGACAGGACTTATTTAAAGCAATGGTATTAGCGGGCAAAGCTGTAATAGCGTTTGGATGGAAAGATAAAACCAAATGGACAGTAGCAAATTGGCAGAATTATTTATTTGAATATATTCAATCAGACATAATAGCTATTTCTAACCAAGATGAACTATGGGAATCAAGAATAGGAAAGATCAGGAAGAAGTGGCATTTGTATTTAAAATGGGTCATGGAAGGACAAAGGTCTGATGTTCGATGGAAGCTCCTAGGTTTGTGCCCCTGGCTAGAAAGGATATGTAGTTAAGAAGGGGGGGGGATAGAAAATAAGAAAAGGCAAATGAATGATACATGAGAAAAATAACCATCCAAGTATATTAAAACTTTCCACCTCTGATTCTAGAAAAGGAATAATCTTCGGCTACGAATTTAAAGAGAAAAAGAAAGAAGAAAAGGGAACCAAGAAGGACGCGAGGAAATAGAGGAAGCAAGAAGGGCGGAAGGAAGATTTATGTAAAGGACCACTGCCGAAGACACAGAAATAGCATATAAACTCTGCGGGGGGGGGGAGGGTAGAGTATACAATATGTACGGGAATAGGGATGTGTATGAATGTAATGTGAAAAAATATAATAATAATTTTTAAAAATCATGTGAAACAGGAGTATATGCAAATTCCATTGTGTGGATGCATACATCTTGACTACTTGTTGATGAAATACTACTCACTGCAACACAGCAGTCTAAAAATATATATTTTCATTATACATTACGGCTCTTTTCTTCATTGTTTGCAACCTACCCGTGATCTCTCTGTTGTTTCTACAACCTCCAGTTAGTGGCTGGAGATCACCTGGGACTACAACTGATCTCCAGGCAAAGAGAGATCAGATCACGTGGAGAAAATGGCCTCTTTGGAAGGTGGACTGTAGGGCATTAGATCCCACAAGTCCCTCTCCAAACTCCACCCTCTTCAGACTCACCCTCAAAATATCTTTGTATTTCCTAACCCAGAGCTGGTAACCCTACTATCTACACTGGTTCCCTTCTGTTTCCAGGCACAATTCAAAGTGCTGATGTGGACCTTTGGAGCCCTATGCAGTTTGAGATCAACAAACCTGAAGGACTGCCTATTTCTTAGGAACCTACCTGACCACAGTCAGTATTTTCTGAGGTCCTGCTTTGGGTGCCTTCTGAAATTAGGCATCTGGCTACCAGTGTTCCCTCTAAGCTGAGTTAGTGTGAGCTAGCTCGCAGTTTTTTAGCCCCTGGCTCACACATTTTTGTCTTCGCTCAGGAAGGATGACTCCAGAGGAAATTAATTTATGCAGTATCCCAATCGCTTGCTCACAACTTTAATGCCAGTAGCTCACAAAGCAGAATTTTTGCTCAAAAGACTCAACAGCTTAGAGGGAACATTACTGGCTACCCAAGAGACAGCCTTTTCAGTTATGACACATAAACTCTGGAACTCACTCCCCAGAGATATTCATCTTTCCCCTTCTTTTGTAATCTTTCTACCAGCAGGTAAAAGTCTTTGTTGTTTCATTTGACATTCCATCCGTGATCCCTCCTTCCTTCCCAATGTTTTAATTGTTGTTTTTATGCTTTTGTATGTGTATTTTAGCTCTTGCTTTAAATTGTTTTGATGATGTAGATAAATAGGTACCACTTCGGTGGGAAGGTAACAGCGTTCTGTGCGCCTTGGTGTTTAGTCATGCCGGCCACATGACCACGGAGACGTCTTCGGACAGCGCTGGCTCTTCGGCTTTGAAACGGAGATGAGCACCGCAACCCTAGAGTCGGATTCGACTGGCTTTCGAGCAAGGGGACCTTTACCTTTACCTTTTATGTGTATTTTAGCTCTTGCTTTAAATTGTTTTGATGATTTCTCTGGGCTTTAATGGTTTTTAAGATGTGATTTTATTATATATGTTTTTGTTAGTTGTCTTGGTGGCCCTTATGAGCACACAAAGGCAGGATATAGATTTTGTAAAATAAATAAATAAGATTCTGAATGCCTCCCATTTGCCCCAAGGTTATGTACGCCCCTGAGATTTGTTGATCATGCCCAGGGGCTGTATGCCTCTTATTAAATCACTGATGTAGGAAGGATATTATGTGTTGTCATCCTTCTAAGACTTCCTACTCCTATGTTGTTGCAGGAATTTGTCAAATTGTCCTTGAGGCAGGTAGACACATTACCCCTAACCTGGATTCTCTTCTGGGTTTAATTCATATTCTTAGTTCCCAGCTATAAGTTTTAGCTTATCTATAACATAGCTTCAGAATAATGTCACTGTATTTTTTATAAAGCTGACAGTTACCCAGTAAGCAAGGACAGGGTGGGGGCAGGTTAACAGCCATTGGTCTGTGTGATAAGGCACATGTATGAAAAGTCAACTGTGCTGTACTGCAGGGTTCAGAAGGAACACAATGAAGCTACCTGTGTAACAGCCATGAAAAGGCTGACTAGTGAACTATGCTGAAAAATCAGCTGCTTGTTTTTAACTGGCAAACAGGATGTGAGCCAAACTTGAGGTTGTTCGAAGATCCCTAATTGCAACAGTTTCCAGTGAAAAATTAGGGATTTAACTGCACTTGGACTCCAGCTAGCGAAACAGCCAGACTTTTCATTAAGGGGCAAATGAATTTTGTGAAGAGACCACCTTTCAGACATTAGTATAATGCAGCTAGGGATGCCAGCCTCCAGGTGGGACCTGGGGATCCCCTGGAATTACAATTCATCTCCAGACTACATAGATCAGTTCTCGTGGATAAAATGGATACTTTGGAAGGTGGACTCTGTGGCATTGTGCCCCACTAAGGTCCCTGTCCTTCCCAGGCTCTATTCCCAAATCTCTAGGAGTTTCCCAGCTTTGATCTTGCAACCCCACTCTCCATCCCCCACTGGTGGCCAGAGGGGGCCTGGCAACCCTAAGATATGCTGATATCGCTGCATAAATGAATCAAGTGACATATCAGACAAAAACGTTTTCACTTGTATTCTGAATCTGTACATATACAGATATGCTTGATGCTTTCTCAGTAATTGCAACAATAGCAACAGTACACTTTCAACACAGTAGATTTCAGCTTGGACACTGTGACATTGTTCCACTCAGACTTCTCTCCAGCCATTACAGAGGCTTTCCTCTGCTGCAGCACTCACTTCCTCTGCCACTAGCACTTCTGTATGCATAAGGGCTCCTTGAAAAAAGACTGATCTTCCTCACTGGGAAGTGCTAGCAGCAAGGAAGTGCTAGCAGATGAAAGCCTTTGCAGAGGACTGAAGGAAGCATGAGGGGGGAACCATGTAATAGGATCCAAGCCATTACCCCCTTTTCTCAGTACTGTTCTCAGTACTGAAGGGGGGCATACAACAAATATCCTGAAATCAGGGAGTCCAGAAACATGAAATTGTTAACGATTCAACACAACTCCCAATTCCATTGAAATGGCTGGATTGGATCCAACCCAGTTGTGAGAATCCTGAGAACAACCCTCAACAAGCTTTTAAAACCCTAGGAATTCTGTGCAGACTTATTAGCAAAAGAAATCCAAAAGCAACCCTAGTGTAATACCTTTTATTAGGACCAATTTAAAGGTTACAAGACTCCTCTTCAGGCTGTATGTTCAAGAAGCATATAAACAAAAGGGAGGAGATATTTATTTAAAATACTTGTGCCGCACCTTTATGGATGGGCACAAACCAGCTCACAAACTAAAGATCGTGATGAATTTTGGCCAGTTTATGGTTTGTGAACTGAAGTTCATGGCAAGTCAACCAGCATGAACTTTTCATAAACTTTCAAGCAGTTTGTGGAGGTTCATGTGGGTTCAAAACAAATGTTTACCAAATGTTTACCAAACTTCAAAGCAACAGGGGGCATGGAATTCTCCAACCTTGGGAAGACTTTTGTCAGTTTCAAACTAATCATGTCAGTTTCAAAAGCCCCCCTCCCTTGCTAGTGTTCCTTTCTGTTCACTTCCCTTTTCTTGCACAGAGCTTGCTTGGATTAGTGACTCTGTGCTTTGAGATCAGTCTTTTTAAGCTTGCAATGCTTCTGGGTTCTGCTAGGCACTCTGTGACTGCACTAATACTGCTGGGCATTCTGCATATTGTACTGGTTCCATTGGGCTTGCAAAAATGACCCCACATGATTGGATTGTAATTGAGCTGGCATTGCCACATTGGCACTAGGTTCTGCTGTGCACTAGTAAATTGTACTGGTTCTGATGGGCTTGCAAAAAAAAAACCCTTGCTTGGAGTGTGATTCTGTGCTGTTCAGTCCTGTTGAGCCGGCATTGCCACAATGTTCAATCCTGTTGAGCTGGCATTGCCACAATGATACTGGGTTCTACTGGGCACTATTACATTGCACTAGTTTTGCTGGGCTTGCAAAAATACCCCCCTCTTCAGTTTCTACTGCAGAGATTCTTGGGGACTTTGATTCTGGTCTGCTGGGCTTCTATTGCCCTTGCTTATTTTGCTGGTTTTTTCCCCTCCATTGGAAAAAATGGAGGATGGGGCATCTTCTTTGGGGGACCATAACTCAGACCCATAAATCCAATCCTCACCAACCTTGGAGAACAGATAGAAGAGAGTCAGCCAGAGACCCCCTGTGAGTTTGGTGTCTCTAGCACACCGGGGGGGGGGCCTGTTCTACCACATCACGAACCTCACAAACAGATTTGTTTAGCTCTTAACAGTTCGTGACAGTTCGTGGCTTATGAACCAGGCACACCATGAACCATAAACCAAAATGAACCGCATTTTCCTGGTCCATGCCCATCTCTACCCTCCTTATCTCTTCAGACTCAAGGCAGGTAAAAGGAAGCAAAAGCTTTAAGGACACAAAAATCAAATTGTTTTTAATTGTGGATTGTTTTTAATTTGATGTGCAGCAGTTGTGGTTGTTCAGTGCATACAATCAATCAAGATGCAACCACTCATACATGCCCACCACCTGACTACCACGGACCAGTGAAAGCACAAAGCATAATATCAGCCACAGAACTTCATATTGACCTGATTTTGACCACATATAGCCTCTTAGTGACACAATAACAATGCTTCATAATATTAATCATTTATATGCTGCCCCCCAAGCTAGGTTTTATACAGTGATAGAGTATTGGCAGGTAAGAGAAATAATGTACTCTTTTTCTCATTGCATCCAAAAACTTGGCTGCTTCTCATTTTTATAGACAGACAAAGGAATCTGACAGTGGGTTTGATCTGAGCAATCTTAATGTTTTGGGAAGTCACAGCACTTGCAGTCAATATTAAAGATTAGATCAGCTGCACAATCAAAGTGGAATGTACGGTTTCCTGCACACATGTAGAATTTCGATTTGTCTTTTGGGTCAGCATACATGCCATCCGCTTTCTCAGTACAAAAATTTTCATCTCCTGAATCCCCTGGAGAGGTAGTGGTGGGATCATCTGACGGGGTCACTGGAGGATCAACTTCATGTGGGCAGTTTGGCACAACAGGATCTGAAAAAGAATTGAATCAAGCAGAATTGAGTCAAAACATCAATGTAACAGCTGTGGCATTCTAGTCTAGTCACCTAAGATGCTATGGCTTATAATTTGCAAAGGCTACCAATCAAGGGGATCACAGCCTTGGAAACTTTACTGGTTCTATTTTTCCTTTAATTTAAGACTGAAAAAATAAGACCAATAAATTGCCTCAAAATTAAGGCAGTTAATTTTGGGGGTGGGGACTTGTTTTGTTTTTCTGATGTAAGCACATAACATTGTAATTTCTACTCAACAGTTTCCATCCATCCAGAACAAACATTACCTGTAATTAAGATTCACAGGTTTCACTGGCCACATGAAGTAGCCAAACAACCTGAAAAATTAATCATTAAGCAATCTGGAAAGATGAAATGTATCCTTCTACAAGGGACTGGACCAAATGGCATTTTAAACCCTTTAATTGTTCATTATTCTCACTTTTGCCAGCTTGGAACACTGCTAGGGAAGCTGTCTATTTGACCTCCCTATCTTCACTCAACTCATCTCTACAAGAGAGGTAAGGAGTAGTAAAGGTCATACATATCATGCCAACATGATAAGGAACATATATGCACCTCACATTCAGGTGTAGCATAGTACAAGGTAATATTGGGGCCTAGCTGAGGAGGCCGGGCCAGTGGGGATTTCAAAAGGGAAACAGTCTAAAATGCCAGGCTGAAGTAGATTTGATTAGCTTTTATTCTGTGCAGGATTAAAAACTAATAAGCAGATGATGTCCTGCATTTCTAAGCCCTTTTCAAACATTCAGTGTTGGATCTCCAATTGCATCTAATGGGAAAATGGCTGCAATTTTGTATGAATGAGACAGCATGCATATTTTCCATGCATGTACAACTTCAGTACACAGAGACAGAATCCTAGATGTTTGTGCATACTGAAGCTGTAAATTAATGGAAAATATGTGTGCTGACCCATTCACCAAAATGATGAATGCACATATCAAGAGGATCTGAAAGGGGCTATAGGCACACACACACACGTGCACACACACATGCTCTTTCCCCAGTACACTAGCATGGATAATGTAACTGAGAGGGAAATGGAAACGCCATTCCAGATTCTTTCTGGTCTCTAAACATATTTCCAAATTCAGGTCCAGCTTCAGGAATTGATACCCCTTTCCAGAGGTCATTTCGGGGGGGATCGTGGGGGATCTCAGTTCCCCCGGGTGAGGTACGGGGGCGGGGCACATGACGAAGCCCCGCCCCCTGCTTCCGGCCGCCCCGCTTCCGGCCCTCATTCAGCCAGGAGGAGGCAGGAGAAGAGGGAGGGTAAGTTGCTTCCTCCCTGCCTCTCCCCACCCCTGCCTGCCTGGGGCCAGGGAGGGCCTACACACTTCCGGTGATGTCATGGGGTGTGGCCTTATGACACACTTCCGGTGATGTCAGGGGGTGTGGCATATGCTAATGAGTTATGCTAATGAGTTCCCCTAGCTCTTTTTCTACGAAACAACCCCTGCCCCTTTCAAAGATACAAAGTTTCTCTCCAATGGATCTAGATGCAAGGGGAGCTGCCCCCAAAGAAAGTTTAAAAAATACTAGAAAGGCTCTGTTGTTCCAGTTCAGTGGTATAGAAAGTCCATCACATGAGAACTGGGAGGAGATGGCCAGCAAGAGGGACATCAGTAAATCACCTATTTGTGGTGTAAGTTTCTACACCTACCATTGTGTTCCCATCCAGATCCTAGAGGAAGTGACAATTATTTAAGGTATAGGTTCTCCATTGCACTCTCTTACCATTTGTTTCAAGCAATCTTTTCAGCTCACTTATTAAAGGATTTGTTCCTTGGTTGCAGAAAGTACCAAGATAGTCATCCAAATCAATAGCCCATATCATGGCACCTCCATAGTTCTTCTCTTTCAAGTATTTGGCCTAAAAGAGAGAGATTTTTTAATGTCTTCCAGTTTCTTAAAAGATAAATCATAGAACAGTTTATTTAGAGTTATTTATTTAGAGTTTGCCAAAGGAATAACAGGCTTTTTAGACAAAGATTAAAGATGTGGGGGGTTAAATTATGAATTCCTTTTATAACAGGAAGTCTTCATAGCATGGAATTTAACCAAATGCTTCCCAAAAGCTGAACTAACAGTGGAAATTAAAAGATAAGCCTTGAAAGCAAAAAAAAGGAAGAAAAAGGTCTTACTTTGTATCTGTAGCTGCAAATGTCATCATAAGTTACCCAGATATCTCCTTTATAGGCATATGGAGATTTTTGTTCATCCAGCCATTTCACTTGGGTGTCCTTTTCATTTAGAAAAGTGCAGACCTGCCAAAAGAATAGATTTGTCTTGAAACAAGTAAGTGCTTTATGAGCAAGCAGCCAGAAGAAATTCCGGCAAGATGCATAAGTAACTGAGCAATAATTATAGCTAAGATTGGATTAAAGCAGTTGGTAAGACATGTGAATAGCAGCAAATAAGCATACAAATAAAGGCAAACCATTCAACATCACAGTAATCCAAGTCTATGCCCCAACCACTGATGCAGAAGAGGCTGAAGTGGACCGGTTCTATGAAGACCTACAACACCTCCTAGAACTAACACCAAAAATGATGTCATCATCATCATAGGGGACTGGAATGCTAAAGTAGGAAGTCAAAAGGTAACCGGAATAACAGACAAGTTTGGCCTTGGAAAGCAAAATGAAGCAGGAATCCTGTCTCGGCCACTGTAAATAACCTATTGGGAAGTTGGGGTTTGTTATGGGTGGCGGTTTCACAGAAAATATAAGCCAGCCTTCGAGCCCACTAAAGTTGTCTTGTTCCTGATCTAATAAAGTACGCTAAGCTGAAATCACTCTCCGTCTGCATACTTTTCAAATGTGTACCTTTTCCTCCCCATACACCCATGTTTTAGCACAACTTCTAAGATAGAAAGTGAGAGGAAGTCTTGAGTTTGGCAGCTGATTAAATCAGTGTTACTGTATAGAAATATTGATTTCTAAAAGCCCCTGTCTTCCCCTGGGATGTCTTGCTGATAACCTGCTGCAGGAACATATTGGCTACCAGAGGAATAATAAAGTATTGAGATAGCCTTCCCAGTATTCATAGCAACTCTTACAACAGAGTTAAAGTGCACCTTCCAAGAAGGGCTTGCTTGAAAAATGACTCCTAGATATTTGAAATGTTTCATTTGCTCCACAGGTTGACCTGCTACTGAGCACCTGTTCTTCTTGATCATTTTTTTACTGAAAAGAAGAACATTTGACTTAGTAACATTAATAGTTAAGCCCTCATTGGAACAATACACTGAAAAGGAACCTATAAGCTTTTCCTCCTGTCTTCCTCTGAGGAAGCTGAGCTATCTAGGCTTGGAGCAGTGAGGGAAGTCATTCCCTATTTGTCTCCAGTGTTTCTATTTTAATTCTACTTTTAATTCCTTTTTGCCTGGCTCCTTTTGGGAGCTGGTGAAGTTTTGTTTGAAGTTTCTTCCCTCTCTAGTTTTTAACTCCCATTTAGGTTATTTAATTTATTACCTGACTGGGCGTGGTGAGTGTTATCGCTGGCATGTTAATAAGCCTCAATTAATTGCTTAGTGGTTGATGCTTTTCTTGAATGAAGGGAGACTCAGCGCGCAGTATGAGTTTTTAATCTTAAAATAAACTATACATAAATAAATTTATTTATTAGGGTTTATTATATCTAAATTTCATTTGCTAGGTATTTTTTTAAAAAAAGACTATATTAGCTTTTGATTGCTTTTTCACATGAGTCATAGCTAACATTCATCTAATAAATTTATCAAAATCTAAGGAAACATAGGTAATTATCAAATGTACCATTATGAATTGGCATGTTCTCAGGATTCATACCTCAAAGTAAGCCCAATATCCTGCTTCTTCTGTATATGACCCTGGAGTACCAGCCCCAGAGACTGCTGCACAGAGGCCTGTGCTACTACTGCTACTAAGTCTGAAAGACCGTCCATAGGTTGGAAATCCCATCAGAAGTTTCTCAGCTGGGGCACCTTGGTCTCTCCAATACTCCATAGCACATTTCTGCCAAAAGAAAAAGAAAAATCTTTCTACAACATACTTTGAGTTTCCTGCAAGAACAAGAAAAGGAATTAAAGAGGTGCTTACTCACACAATTGAAACACTGATCTTCACACCACTCAGAACCTGAGTTTAAAGGACTGTTGCATCCTGTGACACTATCCCAGTCACCATGGAAGTCATACGTCATCACACTGATGTAATCCAGTAGTCTGACAGCAATATAATAAACACCAGTTAGGAAGCATTAAGGTACCAGACTTTAAATCCAACCATTTTGTCTATGATTGATGGCTTAAATCAGACATTATAAACAAACCAAAACTCATTCATGACAGGAACAAAACTGATTAACTGTAATGTTCAAACACTCCCTGCCCTCCCCTTCAACCATTTGCAACAGCACACCAAGTTTCAAGCAAAAAGTCTCACAACTATCTTTAATTAACCATGACATCCAGTTGTGGAGTACCTTAATAAGAACCCTTAATAAATTAAAGCCCTGATCACATGCAGAATTTGCCGTGGAATACTCACAAATGCCGGACAGATTTTACTGGCGCAATCAAACGGACACATCTGGCCAGCGTCCTGCACCCGTCAGCAACCCGTAGCAGTCACCCAATGAAGCAGAGTAAAAAACACCCATGGAAAGTGCACTATCAAACAAGGTTGCGACGGGCCAAGGATGGAGTTGCCAGTGTGATCGCTCCGGCATGCTCCAATCACGTCACAGGTTCCTGGATGAAGTGCACCGGAAGCCGGCTGCAAGGAATAACACCCACTTCACCCACCGTTGTGTCAGATCACGCAGCGGCGGGTCAAATTACCACGGCACAAATAGCCTTGCTCCCCCCCTGCCGCAATTTCCGGCACGTGTGACCGGGACCTAAGGTAAGGTTTTTTCCCCTCTAGTAACTTGATTGGGATTGAACTATGGCTAAGAAAGAAATTAGCAATTAATTAAGGAGCCCACATTTGGCTAATTACAGTTAGTCAAAGACTTCAGTCCTGGCATGCTATAGAAAGGAGGAGAGAGTCCTTGAAATCCACAATTAAACAGATGGAATTAACCAGCAGAGGTCTCTTTTCTCTGTGTTCCTCCTAGATACATTTTTATGCAGGAAGAGAACTTTAATTTTAAAAGTGACAGCATTTAGGTAAACGAAAAACTCATGTATTCCTGAGCCACTACAAAGCTGGGGGTGAATGTGGTGCATTGGCTGCACCCTAAACCCAGGCCTGTTTATTTCCAGGAAGACAATCTTAGGGACACTGGTGTTGGAGTGAGTGACCGATTCCACAAACGCAGTTGTTCCGCCCTCGGTCTCCCATTTCCCCCGGTTGTACTGCTCAATTTCCCACTATTTGCTGCATGGCTGCATTTTGACCTGCATCTCCCCCTGATTTCCCCTGTGTTTTCTTGATCCTAAGGAGTTTAAAGGACTGTTGCATCCTGTGACACTATCCCAGGATCAAGAAGACGCAGGGGAAATCAGGAGGAGATGTGGGTCAAAATGCAGCCGCGCAGCAAATAGTGGGAAATTGAGCAGTACAACTGGGGGAAACGGGAGACCAAGGGCGGAACAACTGCATTTGTGGAATCGGTCAGTGACTCAGCATGCCTGGACATTGGGGGGTGCTACATCACTCTAGGTGTGTATAGATGTTATGTCCTTGAATGGGATGTCTCTCTTTGTCTTAACCTGGGAGCAGCCCTCTGACCCTCTCCTCTCTTTCTTTGTCATCTCACTCTCTCACATGGCCTTCCCTGGAGACACATGTCTCTGCAGGTCTCTCCTGTAGATATAGTGCCCTCATACTCCCATACACATGATGCTAGGCAAGCTGGCCATTTCCGATAGGGAAAGTACTTTGTCATCTCACTCTCTCACTCTCTCACATGGCCTTCCCTGGAGACACATGTCTCTGCAGGTCTCTCCTGTAGATATAGTGCCCTCATACTCCCATACACATGATGCTAGGCAAGCTGGCCATTTCCGATAGGGAAAGTACTCTTTAAATTAGGCTTCTTTTCTCTCCTTTTGACTGCAATCTGAATGTGTACCGAATCTACTTGAATAAATGTAAGTTTACCTTTTTTTGCGATATACTTCTTGGGAATTTATTTACTGCACTCAGTATCATGCTTCTATGACTGCGCAAAAACTCTGCTATATTAACCAAATATCCCAGTAACTGGACACCCCCAACTTTTACTATGTACACACATGGGTATAGTTGTACCCATAAAACATAATGTGTGTGCACAACAAATGGGCAATCTCTAGGAAGCTGAAAGTGCAGTAAACAGAGTTACACTTTTCAAAGTACATTGAAGTAAAATGGGTTTAGAAGAGTGTAACACAAGTACAAAACCTTATATAAGCATTGTAATAAGCACTGGGGCAGAAGCAATTTAGTTTAATTAGGCATTAACTTTGTGTTTGCTTAGGACAAATATATGTTCAGATGTATACTTGTACATTTTATCCAATGGAGAAATAGTGGCTCTGCAAGATCATTCAAGGTAGAGAAACTAGCAGACAGAGGAGGATGAGGATGAAATGTACCCCTCTCTTACTCTGCAGCTAAATTCTAAATTGGAATCACCAATAAAAAACATTGGAGAGAACTGATCACAGATCTCCTAGCATCTTATTCACTATGGCATTAAATCTGTAGCAAAGATGTGCCCTCTGTATCTTTTGTAAACCCTAACTTACATGTAAGCCCTAACTTTGTAAGCCCTAACTGCCTAACTGTATTCTTAAAGGCTATAAATGTCTCAGGGTTTTGCTGAGCTTGGAATGGACACATACCCAGTATACGATGCTGCTGCAAGGCCAGGGTATATTAGACTTGCAGTGTTTTGAGAATTCTACTTACTTCGCTATCTCAGCAATTTCATATGCAGCATTAATAGTTTCTACACCAGCAGATACTGCAGCTGTGATCAGTAGTCTAGACTCCGCAGACTCCTTTTCAAAGGCAGTGAGCATTTCCTATGATGTAAAATAAGAATAATGAGTGATACCTATAAGGAAATTATTTAGGTTTAAACTAGGAGCAAGAGTTTAAAGGCTAATTAATGGATTAATTGTGGATTAAGTAGTATGGAAAGGTTTCAGTGGAACTGTTAATAATCTCTACAATCCTTTACTTCAAAAACATTACTTAATTGGCAGCATCACTATAAATACTGGATTGTTTTTCAACTTTCTTTTATTAAAATGTTCTGTGGCAAGGCAAGTTCAATTTATTTTTCATTAATGTTTTGTTTTCCTCAAGTACACGTAAGCAGAAAACATTATAGAAATCATGCAGGTTACCAGTTGTGGATGTACTGCAAAATGTTTCAGAGGGTAGCTGTGTTGGTCTGTAGTAGAAGAGCTAGATTCAAGTCCATAGCATCTTAGAGACCAACAAGAGTTTCAGGGTATGAGCTTTCACGAGTCAAAGTTCCCTGATGATATCTGATGAAGGGAGGTTTCACTTTTCAAAGCGTATACTCTGAAAATCTCGTTGGCCTATATGGTGCTAACTGGACTCAAATTTAGTTCTGCAAAATATGTACCGTATTTGTGAAATCTGAACACGTGATGGTGCACAATGTTATAAACTTTTATTCTACTCCTAGCCATCCTTTTAGGAAAAAGGGTGCTTGTGTAGTGATCCCAAATGTCAATAATATTTGCAGATAATTAGGGCAACTGGGCTATCTAGTTGACATAAAGCACATTTATGGAGGCTGCAGCCTCTCCTTAGGAAGAATACCAGCTCCAGGAGAAGATCAGCCTGGCCTCAGTTATGAGCCAGAGAAAGAAGCAGTTTCAAGAATTGAGCTTCTCCCTTTGCAGATTACGAGATCTACTCTGTTCAGACACCAGTTTCCCAGAGATCCCAGATGTGGAAACAATTCTACCATTAACCAGAACTCCATGTTGGAAATGTGTGTGTTTGCAGGGTCTCAGATTCCAGCCATTATAGGGTTAACCTGTTTACCTTTCTATGCTACTGTTTAGAATGACCTGGAAGGAAAACCTGGCAGACAGCAAATGTGGAAAAAGCCCGCGAATCTGAGTGCATTTACGAACAATGATTGGTTACTGTTTTCAGGTGACTTCCTTTCTAGGGGTCGAGAAGAAGGTGTTTGTCCACCATTGCTTGAGAAGTGTGTGACTATGCTTTGAGAAGTAAGCAGCAGAAATATAGCTCTTAAATGTTTTGTTTATTTGTAGTTTTCCTGTATACCCTTTACCCTTAGAAATAAAGCTTTTTTAAACAGAAAGTCTCCTCATTCAGGGAAGCAAGATCCATTGACACTCTGAACAATTTAAGAATTTTTGACTATTTTTCCAACACTTCAAAGGTGGCTGTTTGGTTGGTTTTCAAAATATGGTATTTAATCTATTATTTATAAACTAGGAATAAGGCCCATTGTGGAAATAAATGCAATAAGTGCTAGAAAGAGGCTCTGGGAGAGTGCCAAGGCCGTGGGCACTCAGCATCAATTTGCCATGGCAACCTCAGCAGGGTATAAGGACACAGAGTCCACCATTTTCTCCAGGGGAAAGGATCAATGCCATCTGGAGAGCAGTTGTAATTCTGAGTGATCTCCAGCCCTCACCTGGAGATTGGCAACAGTGGTTCCCCATGAAGGAATGGCTGGTTTGGAGGGCAGAGTCTATGGCATTGTACCTGTCTGAGGCCCCACTCCTCCTCAAACCTCACCCTCTCTAGGCTCCATCTCTCAAATCTCCAGGAATTTCCCACCTGGAGTTGGCAACTCTATCTCCTTCCCAGCCAAGCATCAACCTACCTTCATTTCTCCCTCACTGATCAGTTGTCCATCTCCACCACCACCACCAGCCCCCGCCGTGCTCTGAAGCCCTGTCTGCCACATAACCTTGGCTGTCATAGGGGGGCCAACTCAGCAGGGTATAAGGACACAGAGTCCACCATTTTCTCCAAGGGAACTGAACAATGCCATCTGGAGACCAGTTGGAATTCTGAGTGATCTCCAACCTTCAGCTGGATTTTGGCAACAGTGGTTCCCCATGAGGGAATGACTGGTTTTTGGAGAGCAGAGTCTATGGTACTGTACCTGTCTGAGGTCCCATCGCTCCTCAAACCTCACCCTTTTCAGGCTCCATCCCTCAAATCACCAGGAATTTTTCACCTGTAGTTGGCAAACCTCTCCTTCCCAGGCAAGCATAAACCTATCTTCATTTCCCCCTCACTGATCAGCTGCCCATCCCCCCAACCTGCAGCCTCTACCTGGAGTTGGCAACTCTATCTCCTTCCCAGCCTAGCATCAATGTACCTTCATTTCCCCCTCACTGTTCAGCTTTCCATCTCCCACCCCACCTGCAGCCTCTACCTGTTGTTGGCAACCCTATCTCCTTCCCAGCCAAGCATCAATGT